CAGCGTCTGCAGATAAGCAGGCCAGCTTGTGTGTGGACTCTGGGGTGTGGCCACTCCAACCCCCACCAGCTGTGTGACCTTGGAGAATTATTTGAAAAGAACGCACTGCTTTTCTCAGGTATACAGCAGGGGGAAAAAAAGTTTCTATTTTAAATAGCACGTTGACCTCTGTTATAAAGTCTATTATTTCCTTTTTTAAAAAATCAGATTCAAACTCATGGGTTTATACCTTTTTTTTTGGTGCCGGGACTTGAACTCATGACCTCAGGTTTGCCAGGCAAGCGCTTAAGCCACTGAGCTATATCCCTGGCCCATGGGTTTATATTGAACCAACCTACCCAGCACAATCACTGTAGATGCCTACTTCCTCCGCATATATTCTCTGCTCCTAAGCTTCTGGACAGCCACCTGTCTTCTGTTTTCCTATCTGAATTTTGTTTTGTTTTCTTGAGACAGGTTTTCACTATGCAGTTCAGGCTGGCTTCAAACTTGTGGTGATCTTCCTGCCTTAGCCTCCTGAGTGCAGGCATTACAGGCGTGCGCCACCACCACATCTGAATTTACTAAAGCCCCAGGGGCAAGTCTCACAAAGTCTTCTCTGACTCAGGCTTTTCTGGGCAGTCAGTGATGTAGGTATTCTGTGTCACTAACAGGCAGGAACAAAGTTCCTGGAACACAGAATCCTTGAGGACAATTATCCTATTCTTAAAATGTCTGTACCTAGCAGGCATTTAAAGATGAATAAGGGCTGGGGACGCAGCTGAGTGTAGAGAGCTTGCCTAGCATGCACAAGGCCCTGGATTTGATGCCTGGTGCTACAGGCAAAAAAAATACATAAAAAAGTATACAGATTCCTGATGAATGATTCACCTGGAATTAAAGTTAGAATTTGGCTAAAATGCCCCTCAAACACCCTCCATTTCCCAAGGAAAGGGAAAGGAAGACACAGAAGTTAAGCTTGAGACAAAGATGAGGTGTGCTCGCAGACAAGTGGCCCCCACTTCGGCACGCCTGGCCTGTGTGGGGCAAAATCACTTCTGTCTCTAGCCTAGACTTGACAAGTAGAGAAACTCCCTAAAAACAATGTCTAGAAATAAATCACAAGAACTAGTCTCGCTTAAAGATTTCAGGAAGGAAAACACAGTTAAACTGAAAACTGTTAACTGGTACTTCAAAAAAAAAAAAAAAAAAAAACAGCCGGAAATGTTTTTAGGACTATGTTTATCAGAGTCCCTGTGAGGGCTGATTTGTCTTTCCACACATGTCTCACAGCACCTGGTTTTACTAAAAAGCAACAGCCCAATACTAGCACTTTTTAAAGTCAAGAGCAGAGCGAAACTGCGTATTGGAGGCACAGAGACACGAACTGCTTCACCAGACAGCAAGCAACTGGCCAGAGCTGCAGCCCTGTGGGCGCAGCCTGGGGAAGCTAAACTAACAACAGATGGCATCTCTGGTCCACACCTCCGGCTCCATCCACCTGTCAGATACACCCGGAAAATGTCCCGGACAAGCCTCACCCAAACCAGCACCATATTATTCCATGGGATACACCTCAAAACCCCAACTTTCGTTTCTTGTTTATGTTTTCTTCTTTTAAACAAGAGTATTAAAAGACAGAACTTAGAAAACTCAATTAATATGAAAAGGAATTAGATCTTCATCCCTTTTAACTTTTAACCTCAATATATTACTCTTTTAAAGATTTTTTTAGTGCAGTTCTGGGTAGGAACCTTGTGTATCCTAGGCAAGTGCTCTACCACTGAGCTACGCCCCAATCCCGTATTAGTTAATCCTTTTGCATGCAATTCTACCTCTGCACAAAGAAATTACTCCTTTAAGTTTAAATAACCTTAACCTAATAACCTCTCTTGGATCTTTAAAAACAAGACTTATCCACTGTAGCCTATAAGAGTCACAAAACATAATCATAGGCCACACAAAAATGTTCATAGCAGCATTTTTTTTTTTTTTTCTTCTGGTACCAGGAATCAAACTTATGACCTTGCGCTTGCCAAGCAGGTGCTTTTGCCGCTGAGCTAAATCCCCAGCTCCTCATAGCAGTATTATCATAATAGACAAAACATGGAAACAACCCAGTGTCCATCAAATGGTGAATGATTAAATTAAATATATTATATTCATACAATGGACTATTTCTTGCTAAATAAAAGGAAATACACATATTATGACATGGATGAATTTTTAAAACATTATGATAAATGAAAGGCATCAGCCACAGAAGACTCCATGTTGGAAGATTCCATTTATATGATATCCTGACTGGCCAAGTAGATTAGTAGTTGCCAGGAGGTAGAGAGATAGGGGAGGGGGTAACCTAGGGGTATGGGGTTCTTTTGGGGATATCAAAAATATTCTAAAATTGGCTCTGGTGAGGGATATACAACTCCATGAATACACTAAAAGACAAATGCACTGTACACCTTAAATGCACATGAACTGCACAGTATGAAAGTTGTATCACAATAAAGCTACTACAAAAGGAGAAGGAAAAAATACCCTCATATCACAATTAGCGGTTGGAGTAACTGCTGTTTCAGTAACCAGTTTGAAATGCCCACAGTTAACGTGTCCTTGAGTGTTCTGAGTGGCCGAAGACATGCCGAAAAGTGGTGCTCAGGGAGGTGCTTCGTGTATAAAAGATAGCTTTGTTTTCACTAACCACAGTTTAACTAATATTCACTCACATGTCAGTAGGCCCCTAAAATATGAGTGACCTGCCTTTTAAAATCATTGTTTTGATAACAAGTTAGAGTTAGGCTGAGGACATTTCTGTTTTGCATCAGTTGCTCTAACTATGCTGAAATAAGAGTCACAGTTTATGAGCTTAGCGTTCACCGCTGTGCATCCTCAAACATGTCACCAAGCCTCCCAAGTGCAGAGGAAGACTTCAGGTTTTTAAATCAAACCTTTTCAACTTAGAGATTACAGGTCTTTCAAATGCATAACAATCAAATAAACTTGCGTTAACAGAAAAAAAATTGTTTTTAAAAATTTTGGTGCTGGGAATCAAACCCAGGACCTCATACATGCTAAGGATATACTGTACAGTACCACCAAGCTATATCTTCAATTCTCACCTGGCAAAATTTTGAGTGTAAAAATTTTACCAGTGTGTGCCAACAATTCAAATTAAATGAAACATCCAAGAAAAACTGCACTGACAGGTGTGGTGGTGCACACTTGTACTCTCAGCACTTGGGAGGCTGAGGCAGGAGGATCACTGTGAGTTTGAGGCCAGCCTGGGCTATATAGTGAGTTCAGGACCAGCCTGAACTACATAGCAAGACCCTATCTCAAAAAGAAGAAAAGGTAAAAATACTATGTTAAATTAGGATAGGAAATTTACAGACAGAGGTTGTTTGAAGATTATAATGTTTCTCATTAATTTCACTTTGCTCTTTTTTCAGGTCAGTACAAGAATGAATGTAATTCATCTCATACCCATAAGTGGCCACACTTATTTTCTGATAAAAGGCAAGAGGGATAGAGACCTTGGGAGGCCATCCTGGCTTGCTCTGTGAATTTCAGCTCTGTAATGCAATCTCTGGGCCTTGACTTCTGTATTTGTTTACATTTCTTTTTTTGTCCTTTTGAGACAGGGTCTTGCTATGCAGTTCAGGCTGTCCTTGAGCTCACTTTGTAGCCCAGGTTGGTCTCAAACTCTAAATGATCCTCCCGCCTCAGCCTCTTGAGTGCTGGGATTACAGGGACTTCTGTATTTGTAATAGAGGAATAATGTCGCACATTTCTCCGTATTTTGTGAGTTAGGTGCCTGACACATGGCAGGCACTTAACCAGTCTCTCCCTCCCGCTTGATGGTGACTGAACCTGGGTCTTGTGGGTGCAAAGCAGGCACTCTATCACTGGTCTACATCCTTGGGTCAGTCTTACTTTTTTACCAGGTTATTGATTATACTAGAGATTAAACCTATTGCCACAGGTGAAAAATAAAAGCATAATTTTAGAAATATAAAAGGACTCTATTTTAAATGCAATATACAAATTTGAAATGTATTTAAAACTAGTAACTTCGGGAAAAAACACTCAAAGACAAGCTTGATTTGTAACATTGTCTTCTTCAGAGCATAATGAACTCTCATCGAGATCTGGGGTTTGGTGTCATCATCATCTAATATTCCAACTGTGTGTTCATGATTCCATGTAGTGAGCCCAAAATATAACCACCGCAGGCCAAAGCTGGCACAGGCTGCGACAGTGAACAAGGAACCTTCAAGTTTCCTGCCGAAAAAAGTGTCATGACGCCGGGGGAGGAAGTCACTGGATCCTTGTCAGGTGGGGCCTTACCGGGGTTGCAATTAAGGCACCGCCAACCCTAGCAGGTGCTGGAATTCGGGGCAGGTCTCTGCCGACCAAGAGGAGTGCGGTAGCATCTGGCACGAAGGGGAAGGGTACCCTTATTTCCAAGTATACTCAAAAGTTGTTTTCTACTGAGTGCAAAGCAAAGACACGGACTTGAAATAGAGCATTAACAATCCCTATTCAACTGCTAGGGCTGCAGCACAAATACGGTCTCGGGATAAATAAGCCGTAACTGTGAAATTACTAGGCGGGGAGGCGAGGAGGATGGGCGAGGGAAGGCTATCAAGGAGCTGTACGGTCTGGACTGGCAGATGCAAACGGAGATGTTCAGGGTTGGCCGGTCAGCGCTCCACGGCAGTCAGCCCGAGGACCACGGGAAGGACCACAGCGCCCTGCACGGAGCCCTCCCCGGGCCGTGGACCTCACGCCTCTGAATTGCCGGGGCCGGGCACCCTCCCCGCCCGGCTGGCCCAGGTGAAAAGCGCTCGGAGGGGGTCCGCACTAACGGCGCGGGAGTCGGCCTCTTGCCCCAACCCCTTCCGCGACGTTCTAGGCATAACCATGCCATTGCCTGCCCATGTCATTGCTTTCCCTGCTACAGTGTGGTTTTTGTTAAAAAAAAAAAAAAAAAACAAAACCCTCTGAAATCAACAATCTTAAAATTGTATGCATGATTTATGCCATTATTGTACTAAAAAACAAATAACGTGGAAGGAATAAGACTCCAGCCTCGCTCACATTCACCCAGACCGGCAGCGGCCGTCGAGCCAGCCCAGCAGGAGGGAGTCCATTTTCCTGCCTGCGGCCCGGCCTCGGGACAGGGCAGCGAGGCCCAGGGTGTGCTGCCACCTGCAGGCCACGGGGCAGCACATCAGCATGGACAAGATCACCGCCCACAGCCCCCGCCCAGGTCCGGCCGCTGAAGGTCTGGGTCCAGTCCGGGAAGAGACGGGTGGGAGCATTTGGCCAGCGACCAAGCCAGCGGAGCCACCCGTGCAGCGATCTCACCCCAAGGGCTCGTAGCAGGGACTCGAAAACAGCCAGGATGTGCTGGCCTCGGTAGGATGTTCAGTGAAACAGCCAGGAGTCAGTCTCTCTCTTTTGTCTTCTTCGGGGTGCCGAGGATTCCGCACAGGGCCTTGTTGAAGCCAGGCGAGCTCGGAACCACTCGCACGGCCCGGACTCCCGCGTTTCTTAACGGGCGCTAAACTCTGAGGGGGCTGCTGTTGTCCGCCGCTGCTCTAAATGATTTACGTTTGTTAACTTCGTTAATCCCCACGGCAACAGGTGAATGTCTGCCAATTTGCCTGGTTGTTGAACTGGGTGGAATAATTAAAATGAAGAATTCAGTAATACCTGATTCCAAAGAGGGGCCAAAAGGGAAAAGTATGTGGGAGATTCGTAGTATCCTGCAGATCATCCCCTAAATATTTTGAGTGCCTGTTATCCACTAGACACCACCCCGGAACCTGGGAAAACTGCCGTGCAAAAACGACACGAAGTCACTGCTCTTGGGGAGCTTTCATGTAAGTGGAGGGAAGCAACAGTAAAAAAAAAAAGGTAAAATGCTTGCTGGGATGAAACTGCAGGCAAGAAACAGACATGGTCCTGGCCTATATGGAATACTTACATAAGGGGAACATTCGATTAGTCAGTCATAGCCTCAGGATGCATAGACTGTGGCACAAGAGCAGCATTTGCTGTTAATCAAACAAGCACCCAAGTAAGTGCAAAGATGTTAGACTACGGTGGGTGCAACAGCAAAAAGGCATGGACCTCCTACAAGACACCCCAGGGGCAGGGGGAAGGCTGGGCTGGAGCGCAGAAGCAGCAGCCCTGCTCAAGAGCACGCCAGGCGCACAGGTGAGCGGGAGAGGAGGGTGAGATGGGAGAAGGGTACGGGCAGCCTGTGCAGCCTGAGCCGCCTCCTCTGTGAACTGGAGCACACATGGGAGCGTGGCTGGATATGTGCTTTTAAAAGATGACGTTAGGTGGTAGGCTCAAGAACAGTCCACCAAAGATGTGGAGATGGGCGTCCCTGCAGACTAGGCACACGCGCCCTTACCTGGCAGAAGGGGCAATGCACATGTGACCAAGTTGGGAGAGTATCCAGGTAGCCAGATGTAACCACAAAGGCCTTTTAGAGGAAGACAGAAGAACATCTGACCACAGAAGTGACAGCATGGTGCAGTGTGAGAAAGGCTGTTGGCTTTGAAAATGGAGGAAGGGGCCATAAGCCAAGGAATGCAGGAGGGCCCTTAGAAGCTGGAAAAGGTAACAAAATGATTCCCCTCCAGAGTCTCCAGAAGGAACACAGCCCTGCCAAAACCTTGATTTTGAGACTTCTGACTTCCAGAACTGTAAAATAATAAATTTTTATGGTTTTAAGTCACTGATTTTGTGGTAATTTGTTACCACAGCAGCAGGAGACTTTGTTACAGAGCAGCAATGCCTTCTGTAAATCAGTAGGCTGTAGGGCAGAAGGGAGGTCACTGTTATTGTGCAGACATGAAAGTGGGCAGCACAGCAGTGGCCGTGGGGAGGGAGAAGACTGGAGATGAAGGACCCAGGAGGGGAAGAATTATCAGGCAAAGGTGTTGTTGATGAGTAGCTCACCTGGCTGGAGCCCAGACCTGTCAGAGAAGGAGGAAGCATTGCACCAGCGCTGTGAGACCATTTCATTCATTCACTCAGCAGAAACCTGCTGATCCCATGCCACTGAGAGATTCTAGGAGGTACCAGGAGCCACTCTTAAGAAGTAACCCAGGTGGAGTTCTTACTAGGCAAAAGGGAGCCTAGCATTAGGCCTCACAGTGAACTCTTTCCGGCCCCCTCCAGGAAATTTTTTTTTAATTATGGAAAGAAGGGATCTAAGTTCAAATATATACACAGGTAATGCAGAATCACAATTATATACAACCTCAAATGTCATGGCCAGTAGCATAATACAGAAATTAAAGAAAAAATAAACAAGAAACTAAGCAACTTTCAGAATCTACTCCATTCCTGTTTTATGATACACACACTTAAATAGTGAGATCCTAATTTAGTCCTGCCTACTGGGGCTGTTGAGAATAAAAAGCAATAAAAATAATTTAAGGGGATTTGAGAAATATTCTCTCACTCCACTCCAGAAGTATAATTATATACCCAAGACCAAGTATCTGGGAGTGTACTGAGGGCTGACAAGGGTGTTTGAGGGTACTGCTTCTCTACAGGTAGGCCACACAAACCTGACTGGTTTCCAAGAGCATGAAAAGACCCAGCAGCACTTGTAGATGGCAAAACACTCAGCAGTCCTCTTTGGGCAGGAGGAGTTAACTTAAAAAATAGGTATATGTACATATCGTTCTTTGTAATGGCCAAACTGGCATATGTTCATTACCAGAAAACACAAAAATCTCCTCTAGTTATAGCCATCCTGAGATAACCCATTTGGAAATATTTTCTTATACTGATTTTGAGGTCATATAATATATGTACATATATACATATATATGTATTTTTATTAACAAGATGCATATATGAATATACATAACATTTTAACAAAGTCAGGACACCATGTGCTTTCTTTTGTAGCCAGTATACCATATAATTTTTCATGTTATTAAATATACTTTTAAATATTTGGTAACAGTCTATCAAATGAAACTACCAAAATCACTTAACTAATCCCCTAATTTGGACAACTGCACAGTTTCTAACTTTATGATCACATAAATCAGCCTATGAGGAACATTTGCATGCATGAGAACCACCCTGGTATAAGTCTGTGGCTGTAGCTCTAGTTAATCCCTTAGGGTTGTGCTTTTCACATCCACGCATCAGTATTACTCAGCTTCGAAGAGTGCTGGGATTTCGGATGTGCACCACACCTGGCTGGTTCATAAACACTCATAAACATAACTCATAAACACTCTCACGATTACTTTGCCATGATTCAATACCATCATTTCTACACTTAAAATTTCTCTAAATCAACTCATTTCTGCGGTTAAATAAATGTATTTTAAAACAAACTCTGTTTATTATTGCAAATGGAAAACCAGCATCATATGCCATTAATGAAGGCAATCATAAAAACAAATACAGTGAATGAGAATAAAAACAAAATGCCATGCTTAAAACACAGTTAAGATACTGCTCTCTGTTCCATAGGAGATTGGGAGACTGGAAAGGTGTTAGGGGCACACAGCTGAAGGTGCTCCTTTCCGGGATCAGAGGGCTCAATAGGAGCTGACCAGGGAATAACCACCTGCATGAAGTTGGTGTGTGTCCCACCTCGAGCTACGCTGTACCACCTGGAAAATCTCATGTGGGAAACATGTCTTACGACGTCTATTCCTGGAGGTAGAACTGGGATGAGAGGTGTGGACACTTTTCAAGCTTTTGATAAACTGAGTGCAAACACTGTTCATAGTGTTTATCACAGTTTCATTGTGAAAATGCCCATTTCACTTTACCCTCATAGATATTAGGTATTATAAATAAAAGTATTCAAACTTAAAACTTTTAAGCTTTTTAGAGTAAAAGATTCAGCAGCTGAATTTTCAGAGGCTTTTTTCCTACTCCTCTAGCCAGTCTCTGATCCTTGGGCCGAGCTACTATATGAAGCTTCTGTTAGTAGCAAGTTTACACAAACTGATACCGTGCTTGGTTTAGTCAAGCTAAAGTAAACTCAGGGTAACAGGAGGAAGTGACTTCAGCACTTGCAAATATTTCAGAACATCTTTGTGCCAGCAAAGGCCAATGGGGGTCAGAACAGCCTGGATTCCAAGTATTCTTTTGAGAAGTAGAAGCATCAGAGAAACATCATTCAAAAGACAGAATTTGCTGCAAAGTTTCAGTAAGGCAAAGAAATATCTAAAATAAAATGTTTAAACTTTCCTAGACTGCTGTAATATACAAGCACACAGATAGTTACAGATTAAAGCAAATTTCAAAATTTCTAAAATACATGAAGTAAAAATAAATAAATAAATAAAATACATGAAGTATATTTTGAAGAATTAATAACAATTGGAGACTTATAGGTTATTTTTTTTAAAAAACCCTGAGCAGATACTTTGCGTGCATTTGTTGGGGAAAAATAGAGAAGATGTAAAAATATGTTAAAAGGTTTCTTATGTCTGGAGAGAAGTTATAGATTCGGATTAATTTTTCACACTTATAGGACATGTTTATGAACCAGCCAGGTGTGGTGCACATCCGTAATCCCAGCACTCTTCGAAGCTGAGGCATGTGGATTGAAATTCGAGCGCAACCTGGGCAATTTAGCAGTTTGGGAGAACTTGTCTCAAAATTTAAAAAGATAAAAGGCATTGTAGCTCAGTACAAAGGTTCTGAATTCAATTCCAATACTGACCAAAATGATTTGGTGGGCATAGTGGTACATACCTATAATCCCTGCATTCTGGGTGGCTGAGTCAGGAAGACTGCAAGTTGGAGCCCAGCCTGGGCAATCTAGCAATTTAACAAGACCCTGTCTTAAAAGTATAAAAGAAAATTTACCTGGTACTGGGAAAAAAAAAAGAAATAAATAAAGAGCTAAATTTAAGCTGGGGATTTAGCTCAGCAGCACAGCACCTGCCTGGCAAGCACAAGGTCATGAGTTCAATTCCCGGTACTGGAAAAAAACCAGAAACCAAAAAAAAAGAAAATTTAAAAAAAGCTGGGGACATAGATTGAATCCCCAGTACCAAAACAAAACCAATCAACCAACCGAAAAAACCAGTCAACCAACAAACAAAAAACTTTAATCACAGCACCTTGTAACAGGTGTGGTGGCATATTCCTGTACTTCTAGCACTCAGGAGGCTGAGGCAGGAGGATCACTATGATGAGTTCATGGCCAACCTGAATTACATAA